AAAAAAAAATTGTAGGAATTGGAAATCTTTTTAGATTTTGTTTCTTCTGTTTAGCCTATACGACAAGATGGGCAACATAAATCAGTAAAGACGACTACAAAAGGAGAAACACCCATTTCAAAATGAAAAAAATCAATAATCGTGAACAGAAAATCTGTTGCCGTGGTGGTTCTTATGGATGGACTTGTGGACGGGACCATCCCTACGACACTGTACGGAAAGGTTAATTGCCCTTAAGGTACGTAAGAGGTCTCGGGTTATCTTATCAACCGGTTAAGGCCGTCTACATATATGTGTAATATGTTCTTTTACATGGAGTGGAGTGATGAGAACATCACCTGCCGTTCTTTATCGCTAATCGAATAACGTTGAACTTTTGATAGTCGATCTCTGACCCTCTAGGAATTAGGCTTTCCCAAACGGGAGCAAAAAAAGCAGGAACAGTCTCCGTTCAATAAGTATTCCTAAGCAAACACTACCATTTACGTTTTTACTTCTGCCTTAAAATTTTAAACAAAGGCTATGAAGAATCTACAATAGATTGCAGCGGAGGTGAGTCTAAGACGATTGTGATTGGTGGAAAGTTGCAAGCACCAATCACAGGTCTTAAGAATGTCAAACCATTGTAATAAACAACAAATACAATGATAGACAACTCGTTTAAAGTAACCCTAAAAGACCTCAAAAAGACCTCAGCGAGACCTCAAATCATAGTAAAGGAAGTAGAAAGCCATAGCATTATTCATATCAGACACTTGGGTTATGACTTAGTTGGTGGACATCTGGAGAGCGAATGTACGCGTATAAATGACACTTAAGATATGGTTAGGACGGGTCTGGTATCTTCTCCCCGAACGGCGTGTCGCGCTAGCCGCACTCGATCGTGCGGTATGTAGGGGAATATTTGATTCCCATCAGAAGGATACGGCAGTCGCTGCGGAACCATTGCCGCAAGCCGTGGGAATTCGGGGAGAAGTTCCGCCACCCGGTGAGCAACGATACATCTCTTTGACAAGTGATGTGCCGTATGGAAGCTACGAGAAGCAGGGAGGAAGGACTTTTGGGATGGATGCACTGTTACTCGTGATAGACCACTACAAAAACACTTAACCCACATTGTTATTTGCTATAGACTAGACTCTACCCTGGCGTAGAGTGCAGGGAAGGTGTAGTAAACTAACCGTCAAACCAGTGAACGTTTATCACATCTTGGTTTTCAGATAGTGGAGCATAGATTGAATATTTGAAAACAATGCAGTTCACCAAGAATCGAAAATCTTTACACTATGTGGCAGATAAAATGTGAAAACAATGATAAATTGACTAGAGTTTAGTAGTTATCACTTTTTGATTATATAACTGATTATATCTGTACTACTGTTTGATACCGTTTTCGCATCCTATAAAGTTTTAAAGTTTTTGGCGTTAATCAATCCCGTCTGAGGGATGCGCCCCCGCACTCAACTTCCATTCAGAATCGTAGTGGCGTGATGAGTGCGTATGGGGCCTATACAATAAATTGCGGTGGCCAGCCGATGTACAAGTCAGTGCTTTTATCCTCCCAAACGAGTCTGGTACCAATTAACCGACCTCGGAAGGCTTGGTTGGCCTAGGCGGGCAACAAACCGGGATTCGAAACCCTGGACGTCACATCCTATAAGAAGAAAGATATTTATACTGTAGAGGAGTACAGAATAGTTTCACTCGTAAATTCATTACTCGAAGCCATCGTTCAAATTATAATGAATTAGGAACTGAGCACAAAAAGTTACTCGGTCTAAAGCCATTTGATGGGGAAGGAAAAAAATTGATACACTTGGGGCATAAAAATTTTGATCGGCATAACTATCGTGGATGTTTCTGAATTCTTTTTAAAATATGTATTCTTATACATGAGGTTCCTCAGCTAAGATTTCAGAGTCAGGCCAAGAAATCTATTGACAAGTTGCTTGACTTAATCGTCTCTATTATAGGATCTTGTTGTTTGTACTCGATTCTATCATCAATGGTTTTGTTATTATCCCTCTTTTCCCTCTATTCACATGCTTGCGGCATTACCCCTCACATCACGTGCTTGCAGATGTCCGTTAGTAAATAAATAAATAAACATCGTTAATAGAGTAGAGTCTAGTCTACAGTAAATAACAATAGGGGTTAAGCGTTTTTACAATGGTTTATCACGAGTGGTAGTGCATCCACCCCAATGCCCTTCCTCCTGCACCTCGTAGCTTCCATTCCGCACATGCTTTTCCAAAGAGATGTATGTATTGTTGCTAACCATATCTGAAGTGACATTTATACGTGTACAATCGCTCTCCAGCTGCCCATCAATACTAAACTACACATCTGTCATTACTAATTTACTCCTGATTGGAATTTCTATACGTGGAAATCGCTAACAGTTGAAATTATCGGATTGCTCAGCCTTGAAGTTCTTGAAGCCATTTCCTGCTCATTAATCCCGTTTTGGGATACGGACCCACATTAGACGTCTACCTAAAATCGTGATGGCGCTGTGAATACCTGTGTGCCTAGACAAAGAGTTACGAAAGCCAGTCAACGTACACGTCAGCATCCTCCTAGACGAGTCTGGCACCAATTCACCAACCTTGGATGGACAGAAGGATTGCTCAGATTGAGCAGGTATCGTTCCCGTGCCAGGAACGAGCTACGTTGTGCCACTTGTCATTATTCCACCTCCGCCCACCATCTTAATAGTTTCATGAAGGGAAAAGTTCTGAACAAGAGTGGTTTTCTTACTATCCTAGCTCTTGTTGTCTGCAGACCAGACATTAGCCAGTTGTACCCACATTGTGAAACTAAGCGAGCCAGTTTCTGAACCGAGGTGGCAAACGATTACCTGTGAAGGGGCTTCGTCACAGAAGATCCCTCTACTGAACATGAATTGCTCGTCATAAATTAATACTCAAAATTTTACTTAAATTACTTTCTCAAAGATTACAAGACTTTAGAGAAACTACATCATTGAGGTCTGGTAGCTGCTGCCCATGGAATCGCGGAGTGTTTTCGAAATTTCGTGGACGGTTGCCTCTGGCTGTTCGCAATGGCCAGTCGATGTGAAAGTCAATGCTTTTATCCTCCCAGACGAGCCTGGTTCCAGTCCAGCTATTCCGGAGTGATGGAAGGCTTGGTTGACCCAGGCGGATACCGAATAAGAATCTGAACCCGTGGCCATGCATGTGTTATAGTGCGCCACTTGCCAGTACACCATCTCCGTTCGACCAAAGAGCGTTCCCCACTTAGAATGTCATCTCAGACAGTGAAAGTGACGAGTGATGGGATTCGCCGAGTTAGAGACGTCGGTTCTCCTTTACTGAACAACGAAGTTTCATAACGAGAGGATATATTGTGTTGGCAAGAATTAGTTCGACAAAAATTTGAAGCGTTAAAAATTTTGTACTAAGAATATGAACACGATAGCAAGGGTGATAAACATCTAGGACATTTCCCGGTCAATCAGCACATGAGTGCACCCAAGGGCACGCAAATGGACATTTCGCAACTTTTTGGCCGGGATAGGATCAGATCTGATCTGCCGCTAGCAAGTGGCTGCGGCATTTTCAGCCATTGTTCTATCTGTTTGACAACAGTCCCCACGTCGATTTGCGTCTGAGCACATTTTTACTTCTCGTATATGAAATTTATCAGAAAAACGACATCAAACAACAAGACAACAACTGCGAACAACAACAGTGTCGGTTAACACTAATTGCATAATGTTTATATATTAACTACAGCAATACTAACGCATCAAATATTTACAAGTTGTTTACAATGCCTCGTAACAACTGCACATATGCACATTGCTCATAAAAAGTAAGCTACAGTAAAATGAGCAGCAAGCGTGTACAACTCATAATGGGATCATCTCGAGAACCGAAGGCTCACTGCTTCTCAGTCTCGTTGAGGGGTTTCTCACCCACCTTTACTGAGAAGGGTTTCTGAGACTCAGTGCCTGATTTCTCAGCTTCGGTGACTGGTTTCGCTGTCTCGGTTCGTTCAATTGGAATAGTTCTTCCAGAATCCACTGCCCTCGCTAACTTCGGCGCTTCAATGGAAAGATGGCCACTGTCGGAAAGAGATGAGCGAACAGCATCCAGATTGACGTTATCCGGTAGAATCACACGTCGAACAAAGGACCTGAAGGCAAAGATTCTAATATTCATATTTCCTGCCTGTTGGTACAACAAAGACGCTGAGCTGCTTCCCCAGAACAGGAATGAGAATGCATTTTAGATCGAGTCAAACATTCCAAACCTAAATCCCACTGTGAAACATTTTAGTAATTCCCGTCAGAGAAATCCCCAAACAAGTTATCCTACTTCTCTCGCTCACTAAAAAACAAAAAAGTAACAAAGAATCTGAATAGAATGAGATATAACCCGAGCATACCTCATAGAATAACCGTTATCTTCCTGTACTTCTTGCTTTCCCTCAATCGTTAACTGACGGCCATCGATATTTACTTTGAGGTTCTCCGGCTTGAACTTTGATACATCAATGCATACGGCGAACTTGGAATCATTGTTAATGATCTAAAAGAAAATGGAATAAAAATCATGTTAAGTAAGGGCCTTGAGATTGTAGTAGTCCATTATTTCTAGGTTTTCGCTTGTAAATTCTACTGAATTGGTTAAAAGTGGACGACAAGGATGTCGCCGGGTATGATGCAATTGAACGAAATGGTCGCTTCGCGGCGAAAGCGACGTCGCGCACGAGGGATTGTAGTAGAATGGAGGGAGAGCAGCGCGGCGAGTAAAGAATCCAGGAAGAAAAGAAGTAATGGTAAAATCGTGCCAAAAATAGTTATCACATATCGATCGAGCTGTTTGATGAACGCCCAAAGTGCAAGTTTTTGCCCCTGAATACTCTGCCTCTCGACATCTACGAAGAAATACTAGTGGGACAAAAAAAATCCACGATATATAAGGATTCCCAGGAACCACCCAGCAAACAACGCAAAAAGGGAAGTTGACCAAAAAAGGAGGAACGATTATAAAAAAAATAGAAACATACCTCCTTAGCAGACTCCTCTGCCGTTTCCCATGGAAACCCGAAACGATGAAGCGGACCGAACATCATCGAATCCATGTAACGGAAGTCTCGCATGGCTTCTTCGACGAAGCGAGGCAGGAGAGAAGCAGGACGGAACCACAGAGACATTTCGAATTGAGCACAATTCAGACGGATGACTCGTGCCCAGTTGGCGCGGTTAAATAGTCGCCGCGGCCTGCATTCGCGAACGTTCGCGAAAGTGCGATCTCTGCGTCTCTGCCATTATTGTGCTTTCTCGCCATCAACTGCCGCGTGTCGCACCTCGAATGTTCCGCGCGTGAAAACATGTGGCGAAATTGTTTACTACTTTGTAGGGCACGTCTGCTAGAAGGTTCTCAGTTGCTCTTGATTATGCCAACGTGATCAACTTATCATTGATAATGAGTCACCATGAACATGGGATTCTGATGAAATTCTTTCTGGAACAATAAGTAGATGGATGATGTAATTAAACACTTGGAAGTACTTCAAATATTAACCTTGAAAACCGTTATTGCACCAAGCACTTCTTAGCAAGCTCTGCGCTTCTGAAGAAGTTAGACTCCAAATCTATTCCAAGATATTCCATGTTTGAATTCAACTGGTTGTAGCAATCTTGGCATTATAGTTCAGTGGGAATCATTCTTCAAGCCTTTCAAGTTCAAGCTTTCTATTAGGCTGACTTTTCGGCTTCTTCGCCTGAAGAATGCGAAGAAGCCGAAGAAGCCTAATAAAAAGCTGCACCTCAAGAGGCTTGAAGAATAATCCCGACATTCCAAAATATTTGGATAATTTTTAAACATTCTACCTTGCCACCTACATTCAAAATTAACGAATCATCTCATTGAATCGCTACCTTTGCCGCCAACCCCTGCGAAAGTGGGAAAAACGGCGTGCTTTTCAAGCTGTCTTGTTGGTGCAGTGCGCCATGCATCCCACCACCATTCAAATCTTAATGGTGTTTGGATGCGAGCTTGGAGCTTGTGAGCACACAATAATTAGGAAATCCCATGCAACACAGCCTTTAAAGTGCAGCGTAGGTGAATTCCTTAAATCCTGCTTGCCTGGTTCCTGTGCTCACTATAGAGACTTCTTTGTTTCGGATTAGCTTTTACAAAAGCCTGCAAAAATGAGAGAAGTATCTTTTAAAACCTTCAGCAGCTTGTCATAGGGTCTAGCTGCACCTTCGGTGACAGAAATGCAATTAATTAGGTATTTATATTACGACGGAACTGCAATTATAGGAAATAGCATAAATGTTAGATCATTTGGTACAGAATAAGGTAATGGTGCAAGAGCAAAACGAAAGAGAATGTTGGGGATATTAACCTAACGATGTCTTCTTGTAACATTGCATTAACCACGAAACACAATGCTGGTGTCCGTTTTTGTTTTTGTTTTTTTTTTTTGCAAGAAATTCATAGTCTTTGCAGATTATGAAGTCTATCA